TAGATTAGTAGAAATTGGCAATGGTTAGTCTAGGGGATTTCTATTATTCAGTTCATGTAGCCATTCAATGAAATATTTTTGTTTGTTCTGTCACGTATGGAATATTTCTCGTTTCACTTTTCAGCTTCTTTAATATTGGGGTTTCCTCCTTTTTCCAGCTTGGTCTTCTGTTTGTCATCCTTAGACAAGATGACTAGTGGTAGCAGCAGTGCCTCCTCTACACCACCGAACAAAAAGAGGTGTTTCTTTTTCCTGGTGCATTTAAATCATTGTGCTCTCTTCGGTTCTAATTACTAAGGTGTGGTTTACTATTGTAGTAAAGCTGAAGAACTTACTGCTGCAATGGAGATAAAAAAGAATCTTACTGAGGAGATCCAAAGGCTGGAAATGATTAATACAAAGCTCATTTCAGATTTAATGGTTTCCCAAGAGTCCATTAAGATAGCCAAAGCCAAACTGGAGAACAATGCTCTAATCATCAGGGAACTTACTGTCCTTCCAGATAGTGTTGAAAATGTGGTTGATGAAGTTGTGAATGCTGATGTGATTGATGAAGGGGTGAATGCTGATGCAGTCGGTCAAGGTGAGGTGATTGCTGATGTGATTGATGAAGGGGTGCATGCTGATGCAGTCGGTCAAGGTGAGATGATTGCTGATGTGGTTGGTGAAGGGGTGCATGCTGATGCAGTCGGTGAAGGTGAGGTGAATGGTGATATAAATATGTTACTTATAGGAAGTTATAGAGCAGAACTAACTGGTTTATTATTCATTTGTTTTGCTAGTTGTGCAGCAGCATCAGACTCGGGAGTACCGTAAAGTGACTATGTTTGATCTCAACCTCAAGGTTTACAGTCGGAAACGAGATCGCTGTTAGCGAGAGTCAAAGTGTCGAATCACGAATGTGGATGAGTAGATACCGAGAGCTTATACTGAGAGATGAGTAGATACCGAGAGCTTATATTGAGAGAATTTGTGTATATGTTACACCCTTACCACTAGTGGAGATAGTTGTCTGAGAAAGGAATCAATCTCTGTTTGTTGCTTTACTGAAACTTAAATCTACTGATTTCCATGTTTTGTATATCTTGAACGGCTGAATATAAGGGTCCCTTATCTCAGTCTCATTACTGCTCCGTATGTGTCATATCAGATGTCATGTCACCACTACCTCCCATCTTCCCCCTTAATGCATGTGTCTGTCCATTTCCAAGGTATTTACCAAAGCCAATTATTTAATTGTTTCTAGCTCTTATTGATCACCATCTTTACAAGATGAACTACTGGTACTGGGAATAGCTAGGGTAGCCTCAATTATACAAGGTAATCCTTCATTCTTGCTAGCGATAATGCTTACAGGATTTGGTGATGGTGATAGTCGAGAGAATTAAGGATATATGCAACCGTGCATACACATACCTAACATCGTGTAGTTGATAGAAACCTTGTGTTGGGAAATTGGGGATTGATGGTGATTTTAGGGATTGAGAAGAGATTAGGGATAGAGATTGAGAATTTGGAGGAGAATAAGAATAGAATGGTCGGCCGCCAGAATAAGTTGAGAAGAGAGTTTGAGAGGTTTAGGAGAGATTAGGGTTAAGAGTGATACTTTGATAATTCTTTTCTTAATTGATTCTGAATAAAACGCAAAGTACATATTTATAACGGAAGACTGGAAAAACCTAATAGACTATGCTAATATGACTCAAACACTTAATAATAAAAACCCTAATAATAATTATTATTATAGCCGGGGGTTTCTATCAGTAGTTAGGTAAATGAAACATATCAGTAATCGTATGGGTCCGGATTAACCACCATCCAACTCTTATGAGCAAAGTGTTAGAAACCCAGTTTCTAACTATTTTGGGATTTGGACTGATTTGTCGGTTTATTATTGTTTTGTGGATTTTGGATTATATTTGTGGGTATTTTCGGATTGTTGGTGGAGTTAAGGGATATTAGATATTATCTCGGATAGTTATATGAAATTTATCGGATTATATATTCTGTAATCATGAAATTAGTGGGATTAAGTAATTACAGAACATAATTCCCTAAACCTAATATCTCTCTGCTCAAACTCGACCGACCCTCTCCTCTCACTCTAGTTGTCATCGGCTCTCCTTCATAGGGGAGATGATCTTCTTACTTCTTCCTCAAGACCTCAACCTTCCCCACTCCCTGATCTCCAATTCTGCCTCCCCAAATCCCTCAAGTCTATTCTCTCTCGTGATCAGCTATCAAATTCTTGATCTGTGAACCCTAGAGGCCTAGACGTACATGCCTGGATCAAGGATTCTATCAAAGAGATTCAATTATACAATGACTACTTTCTATCCTAAGATCTTCCGTGGTTAGGCATGGTATTCGGATCATGAAGCTGTCAGATATGATAAATTGTGATAGATTATCGAGGTGTGACTACAATGTGATATTCACATACTAACAATGCGATATGATGAGTGAATTCGCCAACGACTTGTACCTTTTGAATCCTTATGATCTATGAAATCTTCGACAATTAATAATGAGAATCACAGGCGGTTATGTGATTACTTATGTGCCATGCTTAAATGGCAATTTACCATGGAATTGTATGGTGATTGCTTATGTTGTGATTACATGATGGTTCAAATATGACATGTCAATTGAGTCTTTGTACAAAGATTACATTGATGTGTTTATATGATGGTTTTCTTTGATGTGTTTAAACTTTAAACAATGATTTATTACGAGATGTTATGATGGTTCCATAAGTTCTGGTTATATGGGGATATGTTTTGCCTACGAGCTAATGACGAGAAGTATTCTACAAGATACGTCTAATCAATGATGTCACCTAATAATAATCTAACGGCGCCTTGTCATGCAATCATGAAAAGGAAAAGAGAATGAAATCCTTTTAAGTTTTAAGGAGTACCGTCAGGGTGTTTGACACAACAGTCTCATATCAATAAAAATTTACAATTAAAAGAAGGGTTATCAATTATTGTCTCCGCCGTCGATTTTGCTCTCCCTTAGTCATTGTTTCTTTGTTCTTCCCGAGATCTGCTCCAACTAAAATAGGTTGGAATGCATGTATACCTAATCTATGATGGAAGCGACCGCCTTAGAGGCCCATTTCCCGTCTCCAGCGCCTGCCCCTCTCTTTACTCAATAGTAACGACAACCAAGTAGCCTCCGTTGAGAAGCGCGGCCGTGCGTCGCGCAGATCCAACACCTTTCTCGAGTGCATGACAGAGAGATTGGACTAAAAATCAAATCAAGCTCAGTTAATTCCTGGAGTCTCTATCTCCCCAGTTACTTCAATAGCACTCATCTTGATCGCAGCAATCTTTCAACTGGCCTCGTACTGTGCTCGAGCTCCCTGTTTCTGTCACATGGAAAAAACATAGACATCCCATTGAAAGTGTGTCACAGAACTATAGAAGTTGAAGAGAACATAATCTGTTACTTCCCTGTTTCTGTCACATTGTGGCCACCATGTTCATAGGGTGAAGACTGAAGAAATTAAGAAAGGCATCTGAGCCAGCACTCGGCATGTTGTATTTTGTAGAATGACGGTGACGGGCCTGTTGAACACCGTCAATATAGGGGTGGACAACGGGAAACGGGTATTTGAGTATACCCATACCCGTCCCGTTTTTTTAGAGTTGCGGAATGAGACTTGAAATTGTAAATTTCAACATAAGATACTCACGGTTACCTGTTAATACCCATTTGGTAAATCTAGGTACCCGTTATATCCAATACACATTATCCCAAATCTCAAATCAATTCTCAATTTCACCCCAACTACCAATCCGTCAGCCCGAGCCCAGTCGGCCTCGGCCAGTTCAGGCGACCAAGCGTCCAGGCCCAATTAGGGATGGCAATGGGTCGGGTTGGGTCGGGTTTTGTCAAACCCAAACCCATGGGTTTATCCGCCAAAAAAACCCGGGGTAAAACCCGTTGGGTTTGAAAAATTCAAACCCAACCCAACCCGCTGGGTATCTGCGGGTTCATGGGTACCCGTGGGTTTTTGTGGTAAAAATTTACAATAACAAGTTTCTTTCAAAATAAAAGTTTAACATAAATTTTCTCATACAAATTAATCATACAAAAAACACCAATCTAGAGCATGCGCAAATGATCAATACAAATTATTCAAAATTAAAGATAAACATATATAAACAATAAGATTAATTGAAAGCTTCTTCCTCGTCAACTAAGTTTCTTCACTCTCCACTTCATAATATCAACTTCATTCTAAACAATTAGAAAGAACAAATTATACATGTCTTCATAAACATATAGATATTAGTTGTTTAAGGAAGATATATTATTTAGAATATTAAATATACCGGGAAAGTAATTATATGTGTGTGGGCGGGTACCCATGGAGCGGGTTTACCTAAACCCAAACCCAACCCGACCCGGTGAATAGTGTAGCGGGTTTAAACCCGAACTCGGCCCAAAACCCGTCAACACGGGTTTTACCCGCGTTGACCGGATTGGGTCGGGTGAGTACTCATGAATTCGGGTTTTGTTGCTCCCTAAGCACAATGGCCCTATCTCGTCTCCACTCGGCGGCCTGCTGCAGTGGGTTCTTATTGTCCCACCATTAGTGAAGTGTGAAGGTGGACTTATGGACAACAGCAGGTGCAATGTAATTTTGTTCCATTCCAACTTCATTTTCATTTTCATTTTCAATGAGCTTATGAGGTTGGGGACAGTAGTAGCTACTTCTATTTTGTTCCGACTACATTTTCATTTTCAATGAGGATTTGGGGCCAGTAGCTATTTCATTCTTATGTCATTTTGTTTATGTTATTTATGTTATTTTGTTTTAGGTGTACCTTTCTAATTGTGTCACATGCTAAACGGGTTTAAATGGATAATTTGGGTACCCATTATTCGTCCGGTAACGGGTACCATACGAGTTTGGGACATGAGATGGACTTTGATCTCCAAATGGGACTGGACACCCGCTTTACCCAGTCCCGTTCCATTTCCTACTCCTAGACCGACACCTTTTCTTTGGTTAACCACAACACCGACCGATCAGTTATTGGTGTAAACCGCGGTTAGCCGACTAACCAAATAATGGTGTCGACTTACATATTCAGTTTAGTTTTGAGTTTTAGCGATGGTGGTGCGACGATTGGTGGTGGGCTGGTGGCGACTAATTGGTGGTCTGGATTGGTTGTGGCGCTGGTCGCTGGAGAAATTGGTGGTCTCGATTGGTGGTGGGCTGGTGGTGATGGTGGTGGCGGTGATTGGATGCCTGCCCTGCTATGCTTTTGTTGACGAGCCGCGACGGGAAGGAAGGAAGAAGCAACAAAGAGACCCATCTCGCCTACTGCCTGGTCTGCTTCTGTCGACGGGGCCCGACGGGAAGGAAGGAAGAAGCAGCAGGGATGACCCTCGCCTGCTGCCGTGCTCTGCTTCTTTCAACGGGCGCGACGGGAAGGAAGGAAGGAAGAAGAAGTGACTAGCTTGCTCTCAACGGCGACGACAAAAGACGATGGTGGACGAACGAGGACGATGAAGGACGAAGGCGGATTGGTGTTCGATGCCGATGTAAAACGTGGGCTCAAGTCTCAAGAGGTGGACGAAGGCACGACAATAGGGAACAGAAATTAGGGATTGAGAATGGCTTTGGTTTTGCCTTTTGGGGGTAGGGTGAATTATTTGGTTTGGTCTGTGGGGTCGGTAAGGCAATTAACCGCGGTTTATCACCTTCGATTACTCAATTAACCGGAGCCTCCAGTTTTTCTGTCTAAGACCGACCGACACAGATAGTTTGTCGATTTTCGGTTAGTCAGTAACCAATTAGTTTCGGTCATTACTGTCAATTACCTGCTAACCGAAATTGAATGATCAACCCTAATTTTTATATGTGGCCGTTTCACGAATATCTTTACACTATGTTTACGAAGGAAGGGAGGAAAATGGAGGGAAAAGAACATTTCGAAGGGAGAGAAATGGAGAGGAGGGAAAATTGAAATGGAGAGAAAATGTTGTTTTATCATGGAAGAAAGTGAAGGAAAAGTAGGAGGGAAAATGTATTTTGGGAAGTGTGATAGATATGTTATTTTATTAGTTGTATAATAGTTAAATTATGTGTTGTTATTATTTTCATAAGTAAATAATGAATTAAATTTACTCTTTCTTGCTAATTTTGTAATTATTAAACAAATTTATCCATTTTAAATATCGTTTATTTTAGCTTGATTTAAAAAATTTCTCATAATTATTGGTTTAATCATTGTTCTTCTTTGCTTTGCTAATTTTGTTCATAATTACAAATCAAAACTTGATTATTTGAATGCTAAGTTTTTATCATTAAATAAGTGGGCTTCCAAGATAACCTTTTATCTATAATTATTCATTGTAATTATCTTTTTGTTAAATTATAATAATTAGTATTATAAAATCAAGAGTAAATGACCAACGTTAAAACCTCCTTAAAATATAATGCTAATTTTCTGTCTTTGGGAGAAAGAAGACCGAAGAAAGAAAAGTTCTCGCTTTTGAAGAAAGAAGAACTAAGAAAGGAAAGAGAGAGAGAGAGCAGGATGGTGTCAAATTAAAAGAAAAACGGAAAATAAGCCCACTTTCCTTTTCTCTCCGATTCGGAGGGTAGGGTGGCACAGTGCATTGTCCGTCCCCTTTCCTTCCCCTTTGCACTGTTCATTTTTTTGGGAAACATGGGAAAGTGCGTTGGAAATCCAACTTTCCTCTCCTCTTTCTCCCTCCCTTCCTTTTCCATCGTAAGAAAAACAGAGTGTTAATGTGTGATGTGTTATGAAACAATTGACTTTGTCAATATTCTGCTGCATATGGATTATGGATGTTTGGTTAATGATTATTATTATTTATATGCATGCAAAGGGCAATAATTAATAACTAATATCTTCTCAAGCATTAATGGTATTTTAGATTTTTCCTTCTCCATAACCATATAATTTGAAGGAAGGGACTCGCTTTGATTTGAAGAAACATCGAGTTAAGTTAACATTTCTGCTAACATCAACGGATGCAGAATAGGATAGAGCACTAGGTCACATTTGAAAAGAGGCCGAGAGGACTGGGCCATAACCCAACGAACATTAAAAAAGAATACCTAAAATTGAAAATTTACGATTGTTATACTAGTTCTGGAGCTCTGGATCCAGAGGAGGGCTGAGTCGTGGCCCGGGGGCCCCTGAATCCGTCACTGGTGTCAAGGAGAGGCCAAAAAGCCTTATGTCCAGCTAGCAAATTAGATCGGATCGAAATATATTCGATATGATTCAGTTTTGCCAGTAAACTAGATCATTGTCCACTGCTAATATCCCCTCAATGGTGGGGTATCTTATCATCTTATGACTTGCATGATATACTTATTGCCTAAGAATAGCTTGCATTAAATAGAATTGGATTGCATATTTGACTTCTAAACAAACGATTTCTAAACACGATTCAAATCTCTTTAAAAACAGTTCGAACGAGTGTGTTTGATGGAATTTTTGGGAACAGATCTACATTAAATTACCTGTACTCCTATGGAGGATCAGTGAGAGCTCCAAACTACGACTAATGATAAGTTTGACGTAGGTGTCAATTGTTTGGTTGTGGAACCCCTCTCTCTTTCGACCCTTCCTCCTATTTATAACCGTGTAGAGATAACTGTCGTAGAAAACCGCCTCTTGGATAACTCCCACAAAAAACCGCTCCCTGCTTCCTCGAAGTGATGGTTACTCCTTCAACCGCCTAGGTGCTTCTCTTGGAACTGTTGTGGGTTTTGAGTGTAGGTTGCCTCGCCTAGTCTTGTTCCAAATTTCGTGCCATGCTTGTATTTTGATAAGCATGTGGTGTCTCACAAAGGAGGTCGTGGTCCTCTTGCCAGGCGGCCATGGACTTCTTACTCATTGAATCATGTCTATGCTCACTATTATTTGGTGGCCTGGGCTTAAAATCAGTATTCATAAACCCAATTTAAATAATGTTAATTATTATAATTGATGTGAACTTATAAATTCCTTGATTACCTTGTAACTCACCAATGTGGTACTCAATAATTTTTATCCGTAAATAAATTGAAAGGAAATCAACTCCAAATTGTGTCCCCAAACCCATATCTCAATAAACTAGACTCTGCAAAAGAGATTGATTCTGCATAGACCTTGATTACAATACCAGAATCCACTACAAATCCTCCCATTATATTATGGAGGTTCTCTAACAGAACCTACTTCATTCTAAAAATCTAGGCTTTTGAGTATTTTTAGGAAGGGTTTTTTTGTCTTTTCAATTCAAATAATTTTAATTTATATATTTATTCCTTAAAAAAAGAAAGAAGCAACGTGTAGCACTATAGCCAATTATTATTATTGACATTCATTTTGATATATTTTGAGAGAAAAGAATGGTTGGTCTAAGAGAATTGACCGTAAGAATAATTAATTTATTTATTTATTTATTTATTGTTAAACTATAAGTGATTAAGTTTCGTGTTAGCGACTGACTAAGTTTTTATAGCGTATTTTAATACGAGATGACTACTCAAAATCTAAAAGAAAGTACATAACATATTGTTAAGGTTAACCAAATATGCCAAAATAATAATAATAATAATAATAATAATAATAATAGATGTTTCATTATGAAAATTTAGCAAGTTTATTGATCGCTCAATTGTAGAATTTCTCTTCATTCAATTAATTTTATATTACTTCATTTAATTTCCCCGTTTTTAAATTACAAATTGACTATATTTGATGAGGTGTTTCATACTGAATGTCCATTGCGTAAACGTGAATATAGAGTAGACAAACTGTGACTTAATTATCTTACAAATAATTCACATAACTTTTCTTGGCAATTGTCGAAAAAATATATTTACTAATTTTTTTTAAAGTAAACTATTTTTTATAGATAATATAAAGAGTGTATATCCTCCTACTAATATATGGAGATTATTTCCTATATTAATACGATACAGTGGATGTACATGATATTTCATATTTGTCGACAATATATCATGTCAATAACTCCAAAGTTATGCTTCATGCATACCTATGTATGACTCGAGTTTTCAAAGTACTTTATGCTTCAAAAGTTGAAGCTGGGTAAAAAAACCTCTTCAAATTGTGGCTTTTTACAAAGCTGAAAGCCCAACATTACTCTTCCCATTTTTATTTTCTAAAAAATGTACTATCTATCATTTATATTATTTTATATTTAAATGAATTGGAAAAAGACATCATTGTGACCATTTTCTCATATTTAATTTTTTACATTATATATTTGAAATATTTTTATTATTTTACTATCTTATTATATTTAAAAAAATGTTAAGAGTGTTTACCAATCAAATACTCAAACATTTTATTCAAAAACCTATTTCTCTCAAATCTCCAAGCATAAGTAGTGTTTGTAAACTACTGAACTTAAAGTAGGGCCAAACTAACCATTTTCCAACTAACTTTTTTATTTCAATCACCTTTTCACACAAAATTTCGATAAATTATGCATATACAAATTTAGTTTGTTTGTTCCATATTGATTGAGTATGAAATTTAACTTCTTGAAAACGGTGTTTCACAATTGCAAAAACTTTACCACTTAAATTTTATTTTGGTGAAATGCTGAAGAAGAAGAAGAAAGAGTATGCTATTGGCGGAGGTAGTGGATTCGGTAATGAAGATAATGACGTCGTTGAGAAGAAGAAAAAAGTTATTGATGGCAGTGGCGGAGCCACGTGGTGGTGAGGGAGGTCTCATGCACCACCTCAAAAAATGAAACACGCGCATAAAAATATCAACGATTGTAAAATCATACTAGAAGTTGTACTTGAAAAGTCTGTGTTAACGTATTTTTTGCTCAGAATGTGATTTTATTATTTCATACTACTAAAATCTACTAGCCGATTAGACTCCAATAGACAAATTTTTTCGTCGGGCCTACAATAAGATTTTGCAAACACTGAAAAATATAATATCGATATTTTTCCTAAAAGGGAGAGTCGAATAGAGTACCTTCTTATTAGAACCAACATATTCACCATTAATCTATTCATAAGCTCATGGTTCATATTTAACATCTAACATATTATGTGATATATTAATTAATATCCATAAATGGTTTTTAGTTGGATATATTGAAAGTGATATCTTTGATAGTTTGGATGATGAATGTGTTCTAAATAGTTTTCATTCTATGAAACATGTCATGAATTGTTGTAAAATATTAATAAATTATACGTTTTTTTTATATTGAACCTACCTCAACTAAATTTCTGGCTATGCCTCTTCTTGATGGTGGATATAGAAATTTCAATGATTGGAGGAAAGAACGAATCATTGGTAATATTTATCCCTTGAATAAGGTAATTATTAGTAGCTTGAAAATGATGTTCGACATTTATAAATATTTTACAATTAAAGTTTATTTTTTAATGATATTGCATGAGAAAAGAAAGAGACTATTGGTGCATTGTGAATATAAGGGTCTCATTAGTGAAGATGAAGCCTGGGGAGAAGATAATGCTTTTACTGACTGAGCAATCACAAAAGAAATTCAAAAGAAATTTTGAAGTAATTTCTTATAGCGAGGAATAAATTGAAGTGCACTGATTACTATATTTTAGGAATCGATTATCTTGCATGAGTTGTATTTTTTTACTTTTGATGAAGACTTGCGGTCATGAATGATCAAGATGTTAGAAAAATGATCATGTATGCTTTTTTTAATAT